GCCAAACCCACAAGGAGCTGTCTTTTTCAACTCTTTTTCATATGGCCCATATGCAATCTGAAACTCTTGAACCCAGATGTTATATAGAGAAGTTTTGTTATGTATAAACATACTAACTATATAATTTTTGTAGGTCAGTATGTGTAGAAAAATTAGTGCAGAGAATCATCAGAAAGAGTTTTTTTGAATGATCAACCACTTTTTTGTAATGCTTATGCTTTTTATTGTTATTGAATGTTAATTTACATGATTTATTTTTTTTGCCTATTTTTCTATACTAGTTGGGTCTTTTATATCTACTTTAATTATTACTTTATATATTTTTTTTTGTATTATCATCTTTATTAAGTCTGTTTTTTATAATACTGCTACAATTATATCTTTTATATTAAAGTAGTTGTTTTTATTTACTAGTTCTTATTCTAACTCTTTACTATCTATAAGTTTTAATATTGCTTCTGCTTTTTTATCTACCAACTTTAGTGTTATAAACTCTTCTGATTTTATTTGTATCAACATTTGGTTATATTTGTATAATTATTTCTAAAATTTTTGATCACATGCATCTTGTAATACTTATATGTCTATTCTGTCTATTTTTGTATATAGTTGTTTATTTGTTTCTTCACATGCTCACATAGTATAAAACAATCTACAATTTCAGATCAATATTGTTTTCTCAAAATTTTCATTTTAGTTTTTGTTTTGTCAAGTTTGTCTTCTTTCTACTTGCTATATCTTTTTATTTTCTTTGTTATTGCATCTGTTAAGTCTGTTTTAAGTATTCTTTCTTTTTGTTTAAGTCTCTAACTGTTGTTTTTAATACTGGTTTTTATATAAAATTCAATTTTCTTTTTTGTGAATTTGTATTTTAATGATTAGTAAAAAGAATTGTATTTTGTCTGATTTTTTTGAATTGAATTGCTTTTAATATAAATATGTAATAAAAATTTTTAATGATATATTTTTTTGTTTATGATATCTTGAAATATAATATTAATAATACTAATATATATTTTGTAACAAGTTTTTTTTAGATTTTCTATTGTATTTATTGTAATTGAAATCTGATATTATATTATATTAAAGTTTACTTGATCTGTAAAATTATTTCAATCTTCTTTAAATATAATTTTATAATTAAATATTCATTATTTACTTTTACTTTTTTTTTGACTTTGGTTGTGACAAATGGAAATATATTAAAATTTGCCTAGTTAATACAAAATTAAATAATTTGATTAGTTAATTTATATAAATTTATAAGTTAATTTTATTATATAATTTTATAATCTAATATTAAAATTTCATATTTTAATGAGCTTTAACCAATTTTAATAATTTTACTATTATTAGAATTAGAACATTCTCTCTACAATCTTTATATAAGGATTAAACATTATTTACTTAATATATGTTTTTTCAAAAAAATTAAATATAGAAAAAACTTGCAAAAATTTCCAACTAATTATATATAGAAATGATTAATGTTGTACTCTACCCTTAAGGATCTACATATAGGTTTGATTTTGTTAGTTAACCGAGCACTGCTTTTTTTGTTTCATCATTACCGATTGGTGAATGGTTGTAATAATGAAATTATTTCACCACTTTAGTTTAAGTTAAAAGATATTAGAATATTAGTTAACATTTATTAAAATGATCTAAGTTATTTAGGCTCCGAAATGACTCAATGAATAGCACTTAATGTAATTAAATTATTCATTATGTAATTACCAATTTTATCTTAAATTATTAACCCTCACTTCTAAAGATTTTGGTAATTTACTAAGTATGCCTACTCGCGAATAACTTTCTAATAATGGCTTGAGACTGGGAATTGGATCATAATTACGAGTAGTTCATTTATCAACTGACAATAAAAGACTACAGAACTATAAGAATTCAATTTTCAAGATTTTTACACATCTCAAATTCGAAGAAAACTTGGTCAAAAAAGTTCATTATTTATGATTTGAAGTTTATTTAATGTGAAAAATATTTACATTTATAACTAATTGCATACATTTCTGATATAATTATTAGGCCTGACATATTAATTTATTTAGCGTGTCACGCTTGGCCACTAATCACTTAAGTTCTTAATTTGAAAAGAATCGAAATTTAATTGTATTATAATTCAATTTGACCAGTTTTTGAGTTGATACTATTAACCGAAAATGGGACGTAATTTGGATATCCCAAATTAAATAGAAATCCCCGATCTCAAACTCAAACTACGCAATAATGTCATCATTCAAAAAAAAAAGAATTAAGTCGTAACTTATTCACCACTCTGTTCCTAGTATATCTCACAATTGTGGCATTTTATTTCTGTTATCATTTTCTCCAGTCACGTCGACAACCCAACCATTGCCACTATTGTCACTATTAATAGTTTCCTCAGCTGAAATCTCCATATCAGAATCGGACTCAATTACAATAACGTCAGTAACATCAGTTGATATATTCGACCTGGTCAAGGTGTTCTCTCTAAAACTAGTATTTTTGACACCTTTCTCAATGGTAGCGATGTCAGCATCTGTATTACAGGTATTCGTAGAAATATTTGGTTGAGGTTGACCAGCAGCCCAAAAGAGATACTTCATTTGTTCAACGTACTTCTCAACTCTTCCAAGATTTTTGAACCTTTCATACGGTAAATTTACTAGTTTGAAAGCGTTGTCAATGGGAGGATCACCATATCCATCATAAACCACACCGAATGGAACGCCAGATATGAATGTAGGATCGATCTTATTGCTTAAATCTGAAGGGTTTTTTTTGGACATTTTTGGAATTATTTTCGTCAAAAGTTTATTTTTGAACAGATGTAGCTATATCTGTATGACAAAATCTATATATGTGCTGGCATGCATGCCAGGGACTCTTGAAAAGTTCGTGGGACCTAATTAAGTTACATTACGTACTGATAACGTTATATATTTTTTCTCTGTCGATACTGGGGTAGATAATCTATATCTATATTGTCGACGATTTTTTTTTTTTTGACCAATCAATTCAAACTTGACCTATGCTGTGATGATTTAACCCCTGTTCTCCTCGATAACAAGTAGAAATAGAAAGATGATTACATAAAAGAGCAACTTTTTTTATTATTGTTACAAGTCTTGCCACCTTTCCCTTTCGCCAGTTTCGTCACCTTTTGCAGTTTTGCCACCTTTCGCCAGTTTCACCATGTTTCGCCATTTCGCCTTTTTAATTTTTCGGCAAAAATCGAAGCCAGTTTCGCCTTTTGCCAGTGGCGAAACTTCTAGGTTTCTCCTAACAACTCTAGTCCTACCACATGCACCTCAACAATTAAAAACAAAATATGGCAACGATTTTCCACTACATACAATATATCTTTTTAATTTGTACTATGATCAACTTCATGCCAATCGCTTATTCTTCATAGTTCAACATAACAACTTAAATGTTCAAGAGCAAATTATAATTCGTCGAGATCTAAAATACGCGGGAGCCAATATAACAATGATTCGAGGATCCGTCCTAAACGCAGTCATAAGACAGTCAGTGATTTACCAAAATTTATTACCGTTGATTGTAGGACCTACTGCTATTATCTCTTCGAATGTTTCTGAAGAGGAAAATCCTAAATTGGTTTCAGATATTTTGAAAATTATTAACAAGCAAAAGAAATTGCTATTAATGGGAGGTAAATTGGATTCTTTGTTGTTAAATGTGGAGGATATTGAACTGATGGCTAAACTACCAAATAAGAAACAATTACAAGCTGAAACTGTGGGCGTTTTGAGTGCACAGGCAGCAAGGATTGTAGAAATACTTAGCAAAAATCCGCAATGTTTGGTGAGATGTTTAGAGATGCACAAAGCGAATCTTGGTGGAACGAGTTAAAATTAGGTATTTTGTTTCTGAAAGATTTTTTTAGTGTTGGCTAAATTAATAACGAGATTACTAATCGTGCAAGATTATCTAGAATATTACCTTGACCTAATTAGATGTGAACGATCCGAATTTACTAATTGTTATCCGTCATGATCATGATTTCAAATTATCATTGGTTAATTAAGTTGTACTAATCGTAATACAACTAGCATTGTGTGTCCGAAGCTAAATAAAATTTTTATTTAAGACTGTATTTATTGAATTGCCAATCAGAGGGCAAATGCTACAGGTACAGCAACACGTGATCTAATTTCTTAATTCTAACACTAACTTTAATGATATTACTGGCCATTAGCAACTGTCCTAGTGTTACCAATCTAAAAAATTTAGCTACTAGATTAGAGTTAGGTTTTGCTATTAGTTTGGTTAAGAAGTTTTCTAATACCAAAATATTTGCAAGGAAAATTTTTGTTAATACGCAGGTGGGTTCAGGGCACGGGAAAAAATTGGGCATGTCCCTGAGCTGAGGCACCCATGGGCATCTCTTTTTTAAATCATGTGATTAACATATAGTTTACAAGTTAAAAATCTCACAAGTTGATTTATTATCTACGGTTATAGTCTGGACTTATTAGCCAATTAAAATAAATTTAAACATTACATGACAAGGACATGCCCTTTGGACTTGAGGCATGCCCTATTCATAGGTGTTATAACGATTTTTTGGCGTTTCTTCTGCGTAGCACCAGATCTTGAAATCTGATTGGTCAGCGACATTTCTAGCATTGGCCAATATATGAGTTATCTTATGACCTTATAAATTGATTTATTAATAATTTCAACTTTTTTAGATGCAGTCAATAATTGCCGTAACTAGTTACGATATAAGCTTTAACTAGTTACCATTTAAGCCATAACATCATTGGGGACGATTCGCCTGCACCTCTATTCGTGACTAAAATGAAAATGTTGTGGTTATATAATCATGATAATATTAAAAAGGATGGCATGATTTGGCCCATTGTCATTAGGGTCAACCTTCAAATTTAGATTAGTTATTTTATTGATATCGGTCACGGGTTATGTCCTTTAATTTACGGGCAATTGTCAATTTATATGGGACGTTATCTATTAAAACAGCCCTTTTTTGCAATTTTTTGAAAAATGAGTTTTAAATGAAAGTTGATTCGCATAATAAAAAATTAAGATAATGTAAAAGAAAAATTACACGAGGCCAACACATCACGAGATTACCCGATAGTCACCTGTTACCTTTAACCAATCAAAATCATGAAATTTTATTAATCTCGGATCAGTTCGAAAATTAAAACAAGTGATTAAACTCAATTATTTCAAAATGAGATATATGGGGTCTTTGCCTTGAAAATCAAGTTTGGATCATATGATTTACTATGTCCCGTAAGGTCATTTTCAAGGCAAAGACCCCATATGTAAAAAGGGGTTGTTTTAATTAATAATATTTCATATGATAATTATACAAATTTTACTGGTTTTTTCATAGTTATTAAAGTTTATTTAAACAATAATAATTTAGAATATATATTATTTACTTTTGCAACTCTAAATAAAAATGGTGCTTAGGTTCATTATTATTTAATTATTCATTTTATGTTTTTTAATAATTGTCAGAATATAAAAACTTTAAATTTATAAATATAATTAGCAAAATATAATATATAATTTATCACATAAATAATTTATAAGAATTGAAATATATTATAAATTTATATATGTATAAAATAGAAATAAAAGTAGGTTTGCCTTTTATAATAAGTATTAAGCATATTTAATCATTATTTATTAAATTTATTAGGTTAAACTTTTATTATAAGAAATTAAGCCTTATAGCTTAATGGTTAAGTTGTCAATTCTTTACAAACAAGATCAATAGTTTGAGTCAGATTGAAAGAAAAATCTAAGAATTTTAAACTTTATAATTTAAAAAATAATAGTTAATTAAATATAAAGTCTTGTAAAAAGTTTCAAGATAAAGTACAAAAAAAATTAGAAATTCTTAAAAAAAGATCAATTTTGCAGAAAAAAGATATTATATATAATAGTAATATTATAAAAGGTTTGGTTACATTAAATATTATACAAGTAAGTTTTTTAAAAAACAAATAGTATTAACATCTTTGTATCTAATTTAAAGAATATATGTTTACTAATATAACTAAAACTAAAGTAGTAAGCAAAGTTGTATATACTGTTATAGAATGAATTATTATTATTTTATTTGGAAAACAGAAACTGTTGTAAGTTTGGAGCAAAAATTAATTTATAACAGCCAATTAAACATTTTAATTTTATATTAATTAATCATGTAGTCAGACAGATAGACAATGATCTGTATGATAGACATTAAATTTTGCTAATAACCTCTAGTATATATAACTATCACATGATATATATTCTTAAAAATATAAATTCTTTTCTATGCTCTAGACAATTATTATTATTTTCATTATTATTATTTAATATTAGTTATTTTATTTTATTTTTTTTTTTTAATATTAATAGTGAGGCCATGCCTCTATCTTTATTGAATATTTAATTGAGATTTTACATAAA